TATATATATATATGCATGTCACGGGAACAGGAAACTACAAATGAAATTGGCTTTAATGGTCATGTTATTGAGAATTTTCTGTGATATTTTCTTTTTGTTTTAGTATTCACAGATTGGTCACATGATTTTGACTAATTTCCTTTAAATCTATTGTGTTTTCTAAGACATGTGCTCTCAGGAAAACATGTGTGATATTCAGCTTAATCACTAATTATTCTTCCCTTTACAATTTTCCTCTGCAACTTTAATTATTACTTTCTTTTCTCTTGTTAACACACCAACACATATAACTGTTAGGTAAAAAATAGCATCCAGTAGTAATGTGGTAACTACAGTATTTTCCTGAAAGGATATTTTTCCCCATTCCTTTGGTTCTGAATTTTTGGAGCAGTGCATCTACCAAATATGCTTAAGAATCGTTTCTTATATATATTATTCACCTATTTTACTAATCAAATTTTCTCTCCTTAAATAGTCATCTCCTACCTATATATTTTCATTTTCACAGTACTCCTTTGGATGTATATCATATGCCTATATCTGTGAATCTTCTTTTGGGTTTCTAAAATAAAACTCTCCCTTTTCATATTTATCTTTCAAGAAGAATATTTTTCTCATCAACACTAAGGAAACTTTTATATTCCAGCTGAACCCCGAAAAAGGTGTTGAAGGAATTAGTCTTTCTTTCATTCTTCTCTATATAGATCCTAAATAATGCAGCTCCTGTCCAACAACCTTATATTACAAACTCAAATCAATTATCTATCTGTGACCTTTCATAGTAATGCATTCATTCTACTCAAGCCCTATTAAACTGCCTTTGAATCTAGTAAAGCCATTTAATTGAAAGTGGAAAATGTCACCTTTTCATTACTTAAGTTCTTCCTTATCTAAGAGTTGTCACCATTTCTCCTTCATTCTAGCTTTTGGATATTTCATACACTTCAACCAGTTGAGAAGACATGATCTATAGTTAACACATCATGCTACACTAGTAGCACTATTTTGCTTAGAAATTTCAAATTATTCTCCCATTCATGAATAATTCTAGTATCGACAAAGCATTTTAGAATTCTTCCATACTATTTGAAAGAGGCTCTGATTCCAAAAATTACTTACTTTATAGATACCTGTTATAGGGTTTTCATTATTAGGCAATATGTTTCATACAATTTTCACTAGAAGTACAATATACAGACCACCAAGAAGAGATGTCAGATCACATAAATATATAGAGGAAAATGACTTGATGAGCCATTTAGTACATTCTAAGTGGATGTGACAACAGATGAATTTCACTGTTCTTTACTTCTGCCCTCTGAAATGTTACAGGGACTTTCAGATTTCCACTTCTTGATCTTTATTTTCACATCTTCTCTGTGATTTTTGCTTTCTGCCATTTCAGTTACCGGCTATCAAGCATGGTACAAAAATGTTAGGATTTGTTTGATTATTTCGACAGAGAGATCCCTATTCACATAAATTTTATTATAATGTATTGCTATAATTATTGTATTTCATTATTACTTATTGTAAATCTTTTACTGTGCCTGATTTATAGAATTAATATTCTTATAAGAAAAAATATATATATTTATATGAATGAAAAACACCACAGATAGAAGAATTGGTACTATCTGTGGTTTCAGGCATCCACTGGAGGTCTTGGAACATCTCATTGGATAAGAGAGGGCTAGTGTGAGAATGGTAATATTTACATGGTAGACATTAAATCATCTATGTCTTCAACAGATATTTAGCAGTGAGTGGCTACTACATACTAGACTGTATTTAAGATCAGTTCTAATATCTCCTCCTGGTGCTTGGAAACTAGTATAACTATTGTAAAATGGGTACTAGCATCTCAGGATGCACAATACTTGGTGTTGCGGAAGAAAGAAAGAAATTAAACTTTACTAAATTCTCACCTGGAGACTGCTACTGGAGCCCTCCCTTGGCCCATAAGTGAGCTGGTTGTGTGCTGGGGACAAAATGTGAAGAAACTCCAGGGAAGCTAGGCATGGTGATGCATGCCTGTGATCTCAGGCTGAGGCAGGAGGGTGACTGCAAATCTGAGGCCAGCCTGGGTTACCCAGTGAGTTAAAGGTCAGCCTGACCCTGTCTCCAAAAACATAAAGAAAAACAAAGCGAAACAAGAAAGCCCGAGCGAAGAGCAGGAGCAGCACAGTATTGGAGGGAGGCAAAGAAAGTACAGTGAAACCTCTCTCCTTTGCTTTTCTGCGTATGGTAGTGCATTAAATTTGGCCTTTGTAGTGTAGGGTCTGTTTTAACAAAATTAATCCTTCCAAAGCACACAAGTGACCTTAAAATATTCTTGTAAGTCAACAACTCAACTGTAGTTCAGTGCTAGAAAGCAGTGAAAAGAGCACAGAATGAAAAAGCAAAGCATTTCACATATCTCTATTACAAAGAAAAGCTCCTTCTCAGCCTACCTGTAAGGTAAAATGTTGATGATCTGATCATATTTGCCAAAAATGTGGGAAAACGATTTGAAATATGGTCTCTTGTAAATTATTGTGTAATGTGAATCCCTCCCAAGTGAGCTTCCAGCCACAGATACCAGCTACACATAATTGGAAGTCATTTTGATTAGGAAAAGATTTCAAAACTAAGCTAAAACATGAAGACAAGCCTTGGTAATTTTTCATCGGTGTTTTAAGTAAAGTGATACATAATTATGTTCTTTGCAAAATTTGTCTAAACAGTGATGAATGTTTAAAGCCTCCTCCCCCTCCCGAGCAGTCTAACTTTCTGAAAAGTGACAAATAGCCACTGCCTTAAGGGGACATTTGTCCTTGACACAGTGAAAATGACAGAAAGTGGAAAACATTATGGTGGCAAGCTAAAGTGCATTTCTTTTTTTCTTTGCCAGAAAATACCATCACATAGAAAACATTGAAAATTTAAAGAAATAAATATAACCATAATTACACAGAGTAGGATTTTTACCTTACAGTTGGGTGAAGATTCAGTTGGTTCTGAAATAGCTCAGCTCTTAGATATTTGCTCCATTATGTGCATGTACACAAAGAACTAGTTTTATTTTGTTTCTTTGAAAACAGTTAAATGAAAACTATACCTAGGATGATATTTCCTCAATGGTACATTATTTTTCTAAGAGAAAGAACCTATTATGGGAAAATTGTTGTAGTATTTGCTCTAACTGAAAGAACAGATGCTGGAGAGAAACAAACAGGGAAATGCCATTGTTCCCATGCAAATTGTTGAGAAGGAAATTGAAGCAGCAATGTACAGAGTGCTATGGGAAGTCACTAATAAAGTCTACTGAATAAAACTTATAGGTATTGGTTTTATAAAGACCAGGATATTCTATAAAAATGGATTATATAAAGGTGCAAATTTCCAATGATGAACATCACTACATTCTATACCTTAAATGTACCAATAAAATTAGTTAATTTACAAAACATATCATAGCTGTGCACTTAAGAAATCAGAAGTAGAATTTTCAAATGTGTTTTAAAGCATTCCAATGTAAAACTTTAGTGATCCTTGAAGTTTTTCTTAAAAACATAAAACTGAAATATTTTTCAATTGTCTTGCAAGAACAACTAATTAATATCATGGTTAATGGACATTTATTAGTCAAAATTGACAAAAGCTTTGCCTGTTAGGTAGGTCAGTCTGAAAAAGCAAATGCCATGCTTTTGTAAACACAGCTAGTAAACATTGTTCCATGTGGATCTATATGCTTATATAGTGGCTTTCTCACTGATGAGAACCATTAAAACATGATATTGAAACAAACTCAACTTGGATCTGACCTTTGTGATGTGTTACACTCAGATTTTAAACATAAGAAAGCATATTAAATCACATTATCATCACTCAACAAAATGTTATTGATACTTTCCTTCATTTACTGTATATTCCCTTTTTGCATGTTTTATAATTTACAAATATAATAGTGCATGTATAGGAAGAAAGAAATAACAAATTCATAACTATACCTTCCATATTTTATTCATCTTATCCTACATATCTTTTACCTTTATCAGCTCTGAAATTGGAATGGCTCATATCACATATTGATGGCCTAGACAGTCAACTTATTTAAATAAAGACAAGAAAATGAGCGTGTGGCAGTGCTGAAGGATCTCTCCCCTGTGTGCTGTTAACATCATCATAGCTTCACAGCCCTCATGATTAGTAGATTAGATTTATTCATTTGTCATCAGCCTGAAGGTCTTGGTTGGAATTTGCCTTAAGCTTTAATGAAGTAGTTTGGGATTTGAGTATCTGATGTCCTCAGAGTTTATAAAATATCAGCAGAAGTTCAGGTGTAAAGAGAATTGGAAATCTTTTGCTGATATCTACTTAGATTTTGAAATGTTTGCTCGGTATCGCTTTAGCATAGAGAGAACATAAGAGACAATCTTTTAAGTCAAATACCTGACAGTAGAATAAGGAGAGAGACACAAACACATAAAGAACAAGACATTTTAAATAATTTAAGCACACTTGAAGGGGTCACAAGGGAGTATCTGGATTTGCTTTATCTATATTTTAAGACTCACCTAAACATATTCATTTGAAAAAAAGAAAACATTTATCGAAGAACTATTTTTTAAACCCAGTCCAGAACTAGATGCTTTTGCATGTATGAGGAATGTACTGTTGGAATTTGTAGGGTACCTAAGGACATTTTTTTCCCCATGCTCTTAAGCAGCTTTCAGTCTAGTTATAAAGGCAGCTCACAAAAACATAAATGATAGCACAATATAAATAATAGAGATGATAATACAAAAGATGACAATATAAAAGATGTCTATTATGGGCCTGATTACCAATGTGGTCACATGGATGATATATTCAAATAAATTCATAAGAGGGGAATTTGAAGAATGAAAGAATATAGGTGAACTATTAAGATAGAGGACATTCTGCTATGGTTAATGAGATACTCAGAAACTCAACAGCAGACATGCTTAAAAGCATGTCAAAGGTCTCAAAGAGAATTTCATACAAAGTGAGGCAGGCTGTGGCGAGTTTTGAAATCGAGGATCTGGAGGCTCATCTAACAGTAGAAAGTAGCTGAAACAATTGTAGCTGAGAAATCAGAAAATAAAATTGATAGGACTGTATATTCATTTGTTCTTATAGCTCGAGAGTGGGGTAGACTCAGCCTGGAGCATGGAGATTAGTTAACAGAATGCTTCCATTGTCCAGATAAAAGTAAGGGCTTGAACTAGGTCAGCAACCTAGGTTGATCTGAGCAAAGAGAAAGTGTGTCAAACATAAGGAGCAAAAGCATTTATCATACTGATCATTGGTCGGGTGTGAAGGACCAATATGACATTGAATAGGAAGGAAGGCAGAGAGGGAGGGAGAAAGGAAGGAGGCGCGAGAAAGGGAGAGAGGGCGAGAGAGAGAGAGAGGAGGACCAGCTAATTTAGGAGGGAGATAATGAATTTGACTATACTGAGTTAAGGATGGCTATTGTAGGACAGAGAAATGGAGTGGGAAACAGAGGTGGATTTGTAGTGTTCCATCAGGTACAGATCTGGGGGCTGGGGTCCTTTCTTGAGGGACCCTCCACTGCCCTGGTTCATCTCTCCACCCTGTCAGAAATGCAGAGCCACAAAGCCAGAGCGAGGCTGACTGAGAACTGAAAGTCTCTTCTGGTGATCATGGAATGAGAAACTCAGATGAAGGAAGTGAAGTAGAACAGAAGTTGTACTGATAATATTGAAAGAGGCGGGGGTGGGGGCTGCCGCACAGCAAGTGAGCTGTATGGCAAGGAAAAGCTCAAGGTGAGACTCCGTCTCTGGCTTGTTCATATTTATAGGGTTAAACTGATTTGGGATCTTAGCTTTGTTTCTGGAGTGAGCCAGTTTTCACAGGAGCAATAGGCACACAGCAAAAGGTATGTTGAAGGTCCTACAAAGGGCAGTACCATCTAGTACCTCACGTCACAAATAAGCATGTGGTTATCTCTATTATATCAGCCACCCAGGTCATGCCCTATGCTGCCTGTCCCCCCCTCACTACCCCTACAATAGGATTGCAGCCTTGCAGGAAGGCCAGAACCAAATATCCTGGAATCATCTAGAAGAGTGTTTCTCAGCGAGAGATGATTTTGCTCCCAGGACATGATGGTGCCTGAGACATTTTGGGTTATCACGATTGAGGGCGATGCTAGTGGTTTGTAGTGGGTGGAGACTGTGCACAGGACAACTTTTCACAACGAAGAATTATTCAATATGGCAATAGTGTCCGAAATGAGAAACTCTAATGTAGAGAAAGAGGATTGATACATCCCACAGAGAAATAGCACCAAGCAAGAGAATGCATATAGAAACATCAGCTGAAGGGCCACGGCCTACTTAATGAACACCCACATTTAAGAGGTGTTATTAGAAAGTGAAACCATCAGGGAACACAAGAAAAGGAAAGTGGAAGAGTATTAGAGTATTGTTAGAGGTTAACATGAACGAGATTATTGACTCATCAATTCAACAAGTATTTACTGAAGTGTTGTGTGTTGGAGACACAGTAATGCCCTGTCTGGAGCTCACATTCAAGTACCAGGTGACAGGGCACAGGCAAAGGAGACAATTCTTACATAGATGGTGGCTAACTGGGCAGCAAAATGATGCTCCCTGTTAGACTGAGACTGGGACCGAGATGTGGAAGTTATGAAGGGAATGTTTTGGATGAGATGGTGAAGCAAGATTCTCCGAGGTGGTGACATTTAGGCCAAGAAGGAAAGGAGGAGGAGCCAGTCCCCAGAAGAGCTGGAATGATCCTGCTGTGGATTCCAAGGGCAGAAGAGAAGGATTTAAGGGACCCTCACAAGAATCAAGTGTTAAGGCCTCACAGAGATTCAGCAGAAAGCCCTTTGCATTTGCTGATAAGGAGGGCAATTGGATCCTTCAAAAATGGAGTCTTAAAAAGTAGAAATATTAATTCTCATGCTGAATCTCCTAGCCTTCATTTATGAAAGCAGAGAAATAATCAAGTATGGGATTTGGGGAATTTTGGGTAATACTGCAGGAAATCCTGGTAGAGCTCTGTCAGAATATGTCAAGCATTTGCTTTTCTCAATAATTTTCTCCACAAAAATTAGACATCCCCACTCAACACAAAACCATGCAGTGATGGAATGCAAATGCTAATATTAATCATATCTTTTCTGTCTTTTCTTTCCCAGGCTTCACCAGGCTTGCTGCTCAGGCAGTATCTATTGTAATCAGCAGGTTACCTACGGTGATTGCATGTTTGCCTCCCCCAATTAAGTACTTCTTTTTTGTGTCTGAGAGAAAAATGTCAAAAAACTTTGTTGCATTGAAGAAAGCTGGCCTGCTTGTCTGGAACTTGATTGTAATTATATGTCGGATATTTGAGGATGGAAACACTGTGGAACTTTTAACAGGTGCCTCCCTTGACAGATGGAGTAAGGAGAGGCTCAGTTTAATTTGCATGTGTTTGGAAAGCATCATGGGAAAGCAAAGTAGCCCCAATCAAATGACCCGAAAGGTCCTGCAGAGCATCGAGCAGCAAAAGCCCAACTGGATTGAACGCCAACTGCTGAAAGCAAGACAGTTGAGCACTGAATGGTAAAGTGATGTTTTCTTGCCCTGAATTTCATCAAATACTTTCACAATAACAAAATCACCAATGCACAACAAAAACAAAATATTGTCAGATGGGCAGCAGTGGTCACTTGGCTGAAGTCATGGGAACTTTGATGAATATCGAGAAAGATAAGTATCCCATTAACATGGGACTGTTAGACATTCCTTGTCTTAAAATTCGAACCCCACGGATACACAGGAACTCTATACTTGTTTAGCCACCATCTTGAGGTTTCTGATTAAAAGGGTGTAGTTAAGCCCAGGGGAATTTAGTTTCACTCCTTCTCAGTGTGCAAACAGGTATCTAGTGGATAGCCTGGAGCATTCTGTAAATGGAGTGGGCATGGAGATTAAATTAAGAAAGAATTAATGGATATAAAAGGCTTTTTATTGCTTTCTGTGTACCTGATTGTCAAAAAGGTACACATTTTTCATCTGGTAATGTAAGAATCCCAGAGGGCAACTGGGGCATATCACACTCGAGCTATAAACATACCCAGCTGTTTCGGTACGAAAATGTCAGCCTTCTCATAGGTTTGTCATCAAGAGCTAAGTGATTTGTGGTATCACAAAGATTTTTAAGGGTCTCTCATGAATTTAAATATGTACGTAGAGGTCCCCTGCCTTACAATTGGTCTTCAGGTATAGAATTGCTTGCTATTGGTAAAGAAATTTTGATTCAGCTGGACTACAGATCACTAAGTTGGCCTTTTTAAAAACAGTCCCCTCCCCCACACACTATGTGACATGCTTTTAAAGTATGTTCTTGTTGCTAGCAGATGTTAGTATAACTTCTTCCTGAAACAATGAAAAGGTACTTGAAACATGGTTACTCTTACTACTTACAGTTTTGGCTTTAGAGTCAGAGGGGCATAAATGCATCACCACCTTGTGCAAGTCACTGAATCTCTAAAATGCCTCAGTTTCAACACTGATACTAAGCTGATGGTATGATGTGGAGAAATGAAGTAACATCCACAAAGTTTGTAGCCTCAGCTCTTCAAACCAGACAAGCACTTATTAGTTATAAACTCAATTAGAGACATTGCATTCACTGGCTAGTTTTACAACTTGCATTCTTGTCTCTGTTAATCTATAAGACTGTGTAGTACTCCATGTGTTGAAAAGCAGGTAATTGTGACTTTCTTGTTCTTGTTATACTGACTTCAAGAAATTTACTTCTAAGGTAAATTTACTTCCCTTGTGTGGGAATAGCAACAGCAGTCAGGCAACTGCTTGGTAACACTGATAGTGACCTTAATCTTTATATTTGCAGTCAATACCAATTTTCAGGCTTGAATCCAGTGACTGAGAGATTAAGACCAGATGTCATTGTCCATGGCAATGATTATATTAAAAAAAAGTTTAAAAATAGTAGATGTGATTACAGTTATAAAGTTAAATCACTATACTTTAGGATACTTTATTATACTTTACTATACTGTTCTATACTATACTATACTGTTCTATACTATACTATACTGTACTATACTATACTTTAGAGTTAGGAGCCCTCTATCACGTAAGAGATATTTAAAGCAGAGTCTAAGTAATATATAGCTCAGACCCCATGCAGGAATTCACGAATTCAAATTTTTCGTAAAACTGATTATAAGTTTTATAAACAACACCACATCTAGTATCTCCTATAATGGAAGTTGCCTAGCTAATATTTATCTGAGTCACTGTGAGTCAAAAGATCACTTAGCTCTCATTTACAAAATGTACCAAACATGCAGAATTGTTTATTTTTTAAAACAAAATGTTACAGTCTTCATAGATTCTAAATGATTAGCTAGCACAATACTGTGTCTCTCTCAGTTTCTCAAATGACAACAGAATACAAAAAAATGCAGGCTTAAAGCTATTTATTACATGAATTTGAAAAAGTTAAATTGGACCTCACCTTGATAATAATCGCTTATAGAATTTGGGTACTATAGGAATTCTTCTTCTTAACTGTGATTTCAAATTGATTATCTGTTACACATGTGAACTTCTACATTGAAGTGATTCTTATGAATTGATGATCATTGAGTTCGTAGCTCTACAGAATAAGGGAAATGTATTTCAAATCATGATGTTCTTTGGCTTTACCAAAGTTTTTTTTAAAATATCAGTATGTCAGCATATATACTAATACAGTTCTTCTGTTAAGTCAAATCTTAATTCCTCAAAATTAGTTTGGAACTGCATGCCATTGTTAGACTGAATTTCTTTCCCTTGCATGCAGATTTGTTTGATTTTGTGGAAATGGTGAAAGTAACTGAAGTCGATTAAAAAGGCGGCAGCTGTAAGCCTTGCCTGTCCCGCATCCTTCCTGCAAGCATTACTATTCATTAAAATAACCTTCACTTTGTAGTAACTCGCAAGCTGTAAACAGTCAACTTGGATTCTGGAGAACACATAGCCCAAAAAGTAAAGAAATGTCTGTCTTTGCAAAGTAATTTGTCGAGTTGAAGATTATTGTTTTTCATCATGGTGACCCTGACTTGGCTGGCTGAATGCATATACAGATTAAGATTAATGCAGTTATTCCTTGGCTAAGGTCTGCCTCTTTCAGGGCACATTCTCCCTAATGACATGATTGATAGGCAGTCCCAAATCCAGAGAGGAACTCATTAATCATGGCATTGACTGAATCCAATCATTTGCTTCACCTGCACAGTGATGGACAGGAAAGGATACAATTCAGGGGCTGACGCAGAGATACTCCTTTGTCAGAGAGCCTCAACTTTTCAATGTCAGCCTCTACAAAGCCTCTCAAGATATTTTGCTTGCAACCTCTATGCAGCTTCAAAAAGATTCATGCAAACTTCTCTTCTTATAATAAGATCTTTTTAAATAAAGATTTACTCTAGCTAATGAATATGTCTAAAAGTAGGATTTGCTTTGTTATTATTAGTTTTAGCAAGGCTTATATGATCTTAAATTTTTTTAAGAAGATCTTTTGAAGCTACATGTGGAAGCAATATCCAAGTTAATGTCCAGCAGCTGGGTATCATTTGGTTCAGTCTTCAGGTCAGCGGCACCGACTCTTAGCAGAACTAATTTTATAATCATGGCAAAATCTCAGTAATGAGCTGCAGTATACAGCTGATTACACCACAGCAAATTTCATTTAGTCTGGGAAAGAGTGGAAAACCACGAGTTTTCCTAAGAATAGTTGTTTGTAAAGCTAACATGATCCAATAGCAAGTATGAATCATATGAAGGATATGTGGTACACACGACAACGATAAACAATTTTTACAGTGGTATAGTCTGAGATGTTTAAAAGCTTTAATTTCACCCTTTATTAGCATGTAAAACATGTTCAAACTCGAGAATTATACATACGGGTTATTTGAAAAGAAATGTGTCAGGACTGTTATCTTCAGGATTCATGGGGCGGTAATGGTAGGCCCCTTTTTCTCAAAGAATAACCTGAATGGTGACTTTTGCTAAGTATCTGTTATCAAAAAGGAGAGGGGGCGTGTGTATTTTTTAAAGGCAACAAGTGCGAAAGGCCAATTTAAAATACCCAGTGGTAAGCACACTGCACCAAGCACACAAACTATATTCAACATAATACGCTCCCCCTTTTGACACTTTAATTAGTCTTTAATGTGTTTTAAGACAGGTGTAAAGACGAATCTACAAAAGACAGAATACCAAAGCTATTTCTGGCAGCAAAGATACTTTTTATCCTCAAATAGAAAATACAAATTATTTCTCACATGTTCTTAAAAAGAAATGTTTTGTTTTCACCCCATGATTATAGCAATTTCAACAATTGCAGTAATGGGAAAATGTTTTATAGATAGGAGTATAAATGCAATAAAGAAATGTTTTAAAAATAATTCCATTTTTAAAAATGCTTTCAGGTGCTTAATTCTAAGGTGCTACTGTTTCTATGAGCAAGAGAGGTTGGGGAGAGCTTACCTATTTGACTGAAGTCTTTATGGGTGCTTTGAGTATGAGATTTATATCAACTCTCCACACTCAATCTCTCTGATTATTTTCCATCTTTATATTTCTTCACCACTGATATGTATGTACTTCCTTTGTATTTAGTGCATTTATGACAATGGAGAAAAACACAGTTTCAAAAGAAGGAGATACTGCGCTTGAACTGACTGAGCAGAAAATAAACACGATGGTCCTGGATCTCTGCCACAAACCAGGTGGCAGCGAGTACCTGAGGCAAATTTATCACATCATGCAGCTCAATGAGGTAGGGAAACGGCCTTTTTACCGAGCAATTAGGTGTGTACTGGCCTGAGGCAGCGTCGGCTGGCAGCTAAGGGTTAGTCAAGGAGGTGATAATACTTCTTAAAGTCAATACCAAACTCAATATTGCATTATTAATAGAATCTATCCAGCCCCGGCTGTTCTGCATTTGTACGGAAAAAGCTTCACTCAAACAGTGTAGGTATTATTTGTATGATTTAAACAATAACACGGCTCATAAATTCAGTTCAGTTCTGAATTGTAGAGAATAGAGGTGTAGTTTGGGAATTGTATGTGTGTGACTGTTAAGCTGATGGTAATATCTGGTATTTGTGGAAATGAATTTTCTAAAGGGAGACAAAGCTATTATTCTTGTGTTGGTGAAGATGGAGACTCCTTTTGTAATGAAAAACTTCACAGGAATATTGAACTAGTTTAAAGATCAGCCAGATTAACCCAGGAAAATTCATTAATGCGCAGACACTGGTGAGAAATACTGTTATGCCTGTCCATCTCTCTGCCCTGTTTAGCCTTTGACCTTGCTACTCAGCAAAAACATAAATAAGTGAGTTATCTCAGCTATTTTCTTAAACTAACAGATATTTGTTAACTTATTTTGACCACTGGTTATCTGAATCAAAATGTGGCATTGGTAATTACGTTTATGTTCGCCCACCCATATATTTTTGGAATAGTAAAAGTTGTATATGACTAACATGAATATAGTGTTTTGTCAATGGTGTAGGCCTTGAAAACTGTACATTTCCGAGGAGTGAATTAAATTCTGTGACAGCATTTTACAACTCAGCTATGCAAATGTTCTCTCTACTGTTACCTTCCTGAGAGTTATTTCAAGTAAATCTTAATTCCTGGGCTTCATAGAGTTACTCAACAGTCAATAAATTGGAGACATTGCAGTGTAGTCAGTGGTAAACTTATGTGAGAAATGGCGCCATCTTTGAAGCACCAAAGCTCAATGTGTAATTGCTACAGAGTGGCTGGGCCTATGCACTCTTAATAAAGACCCACATAGCCTACGTGGGGTTTCTCTGGGGAACTGCAGAACTCCTGGCTTTCGCTGAGGGAAGCACGGTCCTTGTGAAGTCATGTTCCTCGATGGTATATCCACTTGGCCTCTTGGATGGGCCCGTTATTATGGTGACTATTGGGAAACAGAAGTTGCGGTATGATTATCCTCAGGGCCTTCATAAAGTGGTGTCACAATACCCCTGAGGATATTAATAGCTTGTATGGATTGACAAACTGATAGAAAAGATCAGTTTTACCAATAAACAAAATCATCAAAGATTAAGTTGTGTCTTTATTGGCCATCAGTCCCCAATACATTTTTCCCCTGTAGAACTCATGTAACTGATGCAGTGGTGATGAACACGTATGCTAAGAGTGCTTCACTGCGGTACCACCAAATTTTGGTCAGCTAAATGCAAAGTTATAATTTTTCTTCTGAATATGTTTACTATTTGGTAGTGTCTATCAGATGAGTTTTGAGCTAAAAATCTACAAGTTTATTCTGAGTGAGGCATGCACAGCAAGGAAGCATAATGGTGGATGACACATAGCAAAGCAAGCAGCAGACTTTTGCCTGGTGACTATTAAAAACACAGGTGATAAACTCCAGCAATGCAAGGCTGATTAAGTGAACAGTATAATACTTATGGCTGCTTTTATACATGAGGCATCAGTACGCCATAGATGCAGTTGACTGTGATGTTTGCTCATTGGATGAGTAGTGCCTGCCGTTCACATGGGCTGCTAAATATTACTCCAAAATGTAGCCTAGGTTTAGAACTATCTGTGGGTATAGGCCTAGGTGAGGGGAAGAATGGGTATTCTTGTTGATGGAGACAGAAATTGTGAGGCATAATGGGCTCAAAGATTTGTCTTTGAACTGAAGGTTAGATGACTGAACAAAAAAAATACAATTGTAAGTGAGATCCTGGCTATAAATACAGATGAGGGAGGCCATGCTTATAGATTTGATAGTCTTCAATGAGCTCATCGGACAAGTGGAACAACTCAGTGAAGATAGGGCAGAAGTCATGACGGAGAAATAAGCTTTGTTATGCCTGGGTAGAGACAAAGACAGAATGGAAATATTCCAAAGACATAGTACTGTTTGCAGCTGATTAAAGCAGTGTCATACAAAATAATCAGGTTTTTAAGAAGTGCTAATTCTCACCATGGCAAAAAGATTAACAAGAGAGAAAATACCATTGTGTTTATAAGTTGCAACAGAGCACTTTTTTAATTGTGGAAACCATAAAAGTCAGAATATACTTTGTGGCCTTGGGATTAGCCCAGTGGTGCTGCCACCTGCCTCGTAAGCACAAGGTCCTGAGTTCAATCCCTGGTACAAAAAAATAAATAAAAAATTAAAAAAATATATATATATACACATACATACACTATGTAAGTAAATCAGTTAAAAATTATTGGCTAGAACAAAGAGATTGTTTTCAATGAAAAGAGAATATTTTACTTTTTTAAATTTTGCTTTATAAATTATGATGCAGAAATATTTTTTTTCAGTTCAACAATCTGAATCTAGGCACAAAATTCTTTTCTGGTGGCCCTATCATTATTAATAATATTTATTAAGAGCTCATGTGTGTCATTCTACCAGACGTTACAAAAGCAATATTTCCAAAGACATATGTTCTGCAATGAACAAGTTTAAGAAATGACTACGATTGTTAACATTAGCAGTGGTTTCTTAGTATATTTAGGGTTTCAGGATCTGAAATTCGCCTTCCACAATGGCCACACGGTCATACAGTTACAGGGGCACAGCAAGAAGAAATGAGATGCCATGTGTGGTGGCTTCTTCCTTTAACTGGACCACTCACCACTGGGTGACTGCAGGCTTGTCTCCTGACCTTTCATAGCCAACCAGTGAGGGAAGTTTTGAGCTAGGCCTTCTCCAACTTTCATGTGACTCCTGTTCTCCTGGATGGGAATCCCTGTTAACAGGATGATTCTGGGGGCTGAGTCTCTATTTCCTGATAAGCTTCAGCATGAGGCTGATTCTGACAGTCTGTGACCAGACTTTGAGTAGGAGGGGTTTTTGGTGACCTCTGACGTCCTACCCAGCTCTAACATTCTGAACTTTTTCCAAACCCTATCCTTAAAGGAAAACAAACAAACAAACATTGTATTGTGACATATTAAAGTCAGGAGAACATCTACTTTAGTACATGACTTATTTATGAAGAGTAGGCATTCATCAGTGGATGATAGATGTAGTCTTGTAATGTGTTGTCTTCCACAAAGAGACCCATAAAACAGATTAAGATTCCGGACCCTGTTTATTTATGGGTTGGAAACGAGGTGTGATGCAGTAGATTGTCCTTCTTTGCCCAGGGACTGCACTGGTACTCAGAAGGATTTGAATTACATATTTTGAGCTTCTATTGAACCCTGGTATTTTTCAGTTCACAGCGTGGAAATAGAGTTTAGGAGCTTGCCTTATAAATAATTCTGCCTAGAATGAGACTACTTGCAATAAAATATCAGAATATTTAGTGCTCTGCTGAGCCTGAAGTGGGGAGCAACCGCACTTAATAAATGTATGAGCAGTCTTGTACTGTGCATAATCACATACCCAGGTTAAGTTTTGGTAAACAGACATGATAACACATGAAGCATTGAGAAGACAGTGCCTGCTAACAAGACTCTGACATATCTAGCATTCGTTCATTCCAGGAAAGTGTGTTAGATGGTCTTTAAGTCCATAGTGTATGTTAAGTCAATCTTTTCTTGATGAGTTTATTGCAGTGATCTTCTGCTGTGTATCTATTGAAAAATGTATTCTTCCTGAGGCAATTATACAAATGTGCTGAAAGGCTCAATTTTGGGTATTGGTCTGTTTATCTTTAAAGAGAATGTGTGTTTCTTACCATCATGATGTGTAATTCTTTTTCCATGAAGGAATATTTAAAAGAACAACTGTTTCTTATGAATGGTTCAGAGGAAAAGTCATTACCCACCCAACCTTTAAAGATGACACTGAGGAGTGTGGAAGATCAGTCTTCAGCTTTTAACCCTTTCCATGTGTATAGGTCGTTCAGAGAAAACATGCTGGATCAGGTATGTGAACATTAAATGGTAAGTTTAACTTTAATGTGTGTTTTTTTAACACAAGTGAGGAAAAAGAACTTTGTATTTTTGAATATTTGCTCATAATTTTTTTGGAGGGAGGAAACTGGGAAACAAAAATCCTTGTTCTTATTCATATAGTCTCTAAAAATTGGCTTTAAAAGTTATATTACCTTCTTTCTGTTTGTCAAACTAATTCATACATTTGGTCACTAAAACTTAATTTAGACCGGTTCCATTTGTTTCGGGCAGAGGCTGGATCTACAAAAGGCCCAAAGAATCAAGAATTTTGTAACATTCTTCCCCTCCATTGTCACCACTTATTTTCTAATACATTAAATAAAACATCTTGCAACCTTTATGCATATATCAGGTAAATTAGAAGATAGTTTAAGGTGAATCCTAAATAGTGTTGAGCTTCTAGTTTAAGTGACATGAGAAATATTTATTATTTTAAACCCTAGACATATTCCCAAATTTAAAATGAACATGTTAGTGACCTTAAATCCAGGCTATTTGAAATAAAGGCAATATGATAAATGCTATACATTTTAAAATGTCAAATTACGCAATGTGTAAGCCACATGTTCCGGTAATTACTTTAAAAAAGATCAACTTTCCACCAAAGTACTTTCAACCTGCAGTTGCTTTTGTTTTGTTCCTTCTTTTGGTGGCTTTTCCCAGAAGCGTCTTGACAGACAATTTGAATTAACAGGGCAGAAGAGAAGAATTGCTTGACCTAGAGCTCTGATGAAAATAAGAATTAAAACCATGGCCCAATTTGGCATGCAGATAATATTTTTACCATGCCTGTTACAGCTCTCATCTACATTCATCAATACTGTAGTAGAATAAGACCTTCGATACTGACAACCCAGGGCGGAATTCTCCTGCTCTATGACAGGACTGTAGAGCTCGATTAATCAGCAGGTGACAGCGGATAGCTCCAGTTGGATTTTAAACATCAGGCTGGACTCATAATCCAAACTATTTAGTTTTAAGGAACAAAAATATAATTTAAAAAAGCCCAAATATAAGTTAGGGCTTACTGGCTGCTTTCCTGCATTCTACATTAGCTTGCTCCAAACCACAAATAATTATTGTAGCTGTTAAGTCATCCTTACTTCATTTAAATAAATGGCGTGTTTTATTGAGTACTGAATTATGAGATTTTTTTCTTCTCCATAGTCATTTTTCTCCTTACTCTGTCATGAAATTATCAATTAATGAGAAGAAAAGAATCACAATGTTTATACCTGCAGGTCATTATAGTTTCCCTTTAAAACATTTTCTTAACCAAAAAGTTAACATTAAGATTATCACATTCTAAACTGTGTCTTAACTATTTGAGTCTTTTGAGTTTGCTTGTTTTTTTTTCCGTCAAACTTTAGGATGTTTTAAAAATCCTGTAATTTTATATATGAAAAAGTTACCAATTGTTGTTTTTTGAAGAGTCACCCTCTCAGAGGAACTTGTTGGGCAAATTCCACTAACATTGGAAGAATAACGACTCAAGGAATTGATTTATATTTTTATAAGTAATGACTACATCCCCAAATGGATTTATAAATTAATTGCTGTCTTATTGGAATAAAAACCTTCTTCTGTGGACATGATTGATGTTATCTGTCTAAGTCCTCGTTCTGAACCCCCCTCCTTCTCAGTTAGTCTATCACAGCTGGAGCTTTAATTTACCGATCATATTAACTCTGATTAATAACTAACAATAGTGTCTTCTCATTTATCAACAGTCAGCCATCGCAAAATGGAACTGGAATTGGTCAAAGTTGCTGCCAAATTATTTAGGACTCGATAAGATGACCTTCAATGTACTGCTCAAAAACAGGTAATAAGATTGAGTATCGTTGTGTGTGTGTGTGTGTGTGTGTGATTTTTAGAAAAAGAGAAAATATTTTATCCGCAGAGCAATCTCTTATTTCCTTCTCTTCAGTCTCTCAAATTAAAAAAAAAAAAGCCTAAAATTAGGAGTAGACTTCCTAAATTCCTTTTTCATAGTGAACTTTTGTAAAATTTGGCTCCCAGATGAAATTCGTTGCCTTTACCCTCAATTTTTAATATTTTTTATTTTGTATATTTAATAGTGTACTGTTGTAAACACCAAAAGTAATTGATTTGAATATCATCATAGTATGCCTTTGTATACAACAATTTAATGAAAGCACGCAAAGTGCCAAACCAAATCAACTAGTCTAATCAAGAGAAACATAAGTAAAACTGGCATGATAGACATTTTTACTTTTCAGCCAGTTCTCTGGGCACTCTTGCTGTACTATCACCTCTTCTCTTTTACACACACAGATACACCAGTGCAATGCAGTAAGATAGTCATGTGATTTTTAGCTTGGGAACCTAGGCTTGTAATTTATTTTGCACCAAATTACACACATTTTCTTTCTGTTCTGGATCTATTAATGTTTTTATATTACTTTAAAGTTTTCAGTGAACACTAGAAGGTATAAATTTTCAAGAGTGAATTTAGCTGATGTTACATTTTCAAATATGTATCTGTATATGTGTGTGGATGTGTATTTACAGGTATATATATATGATTCCTATTATTTATGGATCATCTGTTTGTTGATATCTAAGTGTTGGAATTATTTTCTGTGTGGTCTTTGTGACGTATATATTTTTTACAAAAATATTGAGTATCACTTTTTCCTGAAAGAAAGTATTCACAGCATAGTAGATTGTCACATCATCCTTGAGAAATCTGCATGCTTATAAGAAAATAACCTATGAGAGAAAGAGCACAGTATTTCCCAGATGGTGGGTTTAAAAATGGTGTGGCTTTGTCGCCAGTAAAAACTGTAGCTTAAACAAGTAGCCACTATAGGATTCCTAATGTTTCAACACTGAGTTAAGCTCACTCCCCCCATCACAGACAAAATGGAACAATCTAGACCCTTCCTCGTTAAGGACAGAATCTTGCTCTGGTGAATTCACCACCCGGTAGGCAGTGACCTGACACATATCCTACTTGTGCACAGTGTACTCCAGAGCTGCTCCTATCCATTTCCAAACTTGTTCGGAGAGGTGAGAGGTGAGTTGGATAGAGCAGAGGCCAAGTCCTCTGATGTGCACACAATATTAAATGTTGTCTGGAAACAGACTCATAAAAATAAATATTTTTTCCTTGCTATTTGGGAAGTTTTGAGTTTATGTAGACTAACTACTATATCTGCTACGTGACTTGCTCTTTCTAATCTACTAAATGGTACCCTGGGGACAACATGTCCTTCAAAACTTACTGCGTTTGTGTTGCATTAAATTCACCTCTAAGGAAACTTGTGCTTTAAGCAGACTTGCATTATGTTATTTTTTTGTTTAATGGCTTCAGGTATACTTCAATTAGGTCTCCAGCTATTAAAGTCCATTTCCTGAGATATGTGCAGTAATGAATGGGAGAAAAAGAACTCCTGCAAATTTAGCCAGAAATAACAGGTCATAACAGGTCTCTTGGAAAGGGATCATGAATTTTTAATAGAAACAGCTAGAGTCTCATCTTCATAACAACTTTAGATTTTTAAAGAATGGTATGAAAGGCATTCTATTGTAAACTACCACACACCACTAGCTACAATGAAGCTAATTGAGCTACCTTAGAAGGATAAAAGACACAGGAGAGTTTTAATTTCTTCTATCACTTTCCCATTTATTTTAAGAATGTTATTTATAAGTTTTGATTAATATTGAACTTGCAAGGAACTCTGCAATTTTTTTTTCCTCTAAGATACTGTCTTGTTTGGACTTATCTGAAAAAGCTGACTTTTAAAAAAAGAGTTTATTCAATTTTTTGACATGGTTATCTGAAAAATATGTATTTGAAAATGAGACCACAGACACCGAGCTTTTAGAATGAGAGTTACATAATTACAAAATGATACTTCTTATTTACGACCCTGGTCTTTATGGTTAGGCAAAGCTGTAGAAAAGACAAGAGCAACTCAGCTGAATACGTGTGGTTCTTTCTCCCAAACTCTTCAGTTGGCCAAATCATCTGCTCTCTTGTGGCTCTCTTTCTTTGTAATATATTTGTACTAATGTTCCTCTATATTATGGCCTACATGTCTGGATGAGACTTTGAGTGTTGTATGAGGACATGATGTTACAAAGAAAAGTAAATATACGGTATTAACAGGTTCAGGAGAAGAGAATCCTTTCTGGTCACCTCTATAATTTCTTTGTGTCTGGTCTTCAATTTCTATACCAAAACAGACTATCTGTAGACTTAATTTCTTAGGATTCCTGGTGTGAACCACACCACCCTCACTCTGAAAACAAGATAGAGTTGGGAAAGCAGGAATCCTGGGCTCTCAAGAGTTTACCTTTGATTTTAAATTTTCTTATTTTTAAAATGAGTAACTATATAACTACTTTTGTAGAGATTATCAATCAATCCTGCTAGAGTATTTGGAAGTATTTTTGAAAGTTGCAAAGACAATACATACTTAGAAAAGTAGTAACATAGTAGTAGTTTCAGTTTTGCTTTGGTAAGAAGTTGGTAAACATGGGCTGGGGATTTAGCTCAGTGGGTCGGTGGCCTGCCTTCGCGAGGACCCTAGTTCAATCCCTGGTAAAAAAAAAAAAAAAAAAAGAAGTTGGTAAACTCCATGAAGGATTTGCTGCAAGGTCAGGTCTTCAGACTAGAGTTTATATAGACCTTACGTCTCAACCAATAATGAGGGTAAGGCCAAGTATTGAGTCATAGACCAGGTAGCAGCCCCAGTAGCTTGGAAGACTGTGAGAAAATGAACAAGAAGCACTTCAAAATGCCAAGTAAGCCACTCAGGAGATAAAGACTTCAGAGATGAAATTTGAGAGACAGTTGAGAAACTTAGAAGAGGGTATTTGTGGTGCCAGCCACATCTATATGTGAGGCAAGCTGGGTGGGTGATGACTCCAAAGGATGAACAACCTGTCTTGGCAGGGATGTGTCCTCTGCTTGCTATCTGACCTCATCTCAAAACACCTCCCTCACATTCATGACACTCTAAGTAGGTTGCCTTCCTCGCATTCTTTGGGTTTTCTGGGTCCTTTCACGTTTTCAGGTATTGGTACTTGAAGTTTCCTCAGCTCTTCACATGGCCTGTGCCATCTTGTCCATCTGGGGCAAATATCATCTCCTGAAAGTGATCTTTTCTTGTCCCCATCTAAAGTGGCTCTCTAGTCACTCCAGCATCCTACTTGAGTGTGTGATTTCCTAACTGAGGCATTGATATAGGGGGAAGAGGTGCACCTCCCACACGTGCTAGATATCTGAAACCTCAGTTCATGTTCTCTAAAATGGAAGAATGAATTCTAGGAACAGCAAAGGTTAAGATTAGGAAAACTTATTGAGGGAAAAATAGGTGGCCCACCCACACTGCTTCTCTAAGGTGTTTTATACAGCAAAGCCATGAGGTGAGGCGGGTACAAAGTGGGACAAATCTGTAAGACCCGATCGAAAATTAAAAGGTGGGCATGAGGTGGGACAAAACCATGACCAACCAACAAGATTACAAGTATAGTCGCCCAGGTAATATTGATTAAATGGGGATCAAATGGGAAAACAAGTCACATACAAGGAATTTTCCATTTATATATCAATCATTGCTATATATCTCTAGGGGAAGTAGGAGCTCTTTTCTTTTTTATAATGCTAACCAGTGAATGTGCCTGAATTGTTCTCCATATTGAGTCCTCACTGTGTAGCTCCTCACAGCTCCTCGATGGTGGCACTGTCTGTCTATAAGAGCTCTAAGAAACTTACCTATCTGCAATATTATCACTACCTCATATGTTAATTTCCATTTGTTATTTTAATCTTGCCCCCATAATAGAATATAAACTCTATGAGGTTACTACCTTGCCTTCTATTTCAACTATACCTTTGATATCTAAAACAGCATTGCACACATAGTAGGCTCTAAGTAATATTTATTGAATTAGTTAATGAATGAATGAGGAATAAGAATTAGAGAAGTTGGCCCCTGAAAAATGAGCCTATATAGAGTAGGCAGTCTTTAAATGTGATGTCTGATTACTGGTCAGGTAGGCACAAGAGGTATACTCTGGAAAGTCACAAGAAAAAAATTATCTGAATGCATACTTATTTTCTACATTCTCAAAGTTTGGGTGAAGATACCTGTGATGATGATGGTGGTGGTGACATTGATGATGTAAAATTAGGTTCAGGTTAGAACAAGAAGCTGGTCTTAGTTGAGCCCACTCAAACCATAACCTTGCCGGCAACAAAGTCTGTGTTTTACTCCGTGATTTGTACGTCTTTTGACATTTTGGTGATAGCGTTTGGATTTGTTAAGTGATACTCGAAATGGAAGATAAAAAAGTTAGGGTAGTTAACTGACGAAAGTATCCAATCAAGCCTTTGTAAGTTGTGAGTGGTTTTGGAAGCATTTGAAGAAGCACAGTGGCTAAAATCTGAGAAAAGTGATATTGAATATATATTAATGCTTATGTGTTTCAACTTTAGAAGTTTGCTGTTGTAGAAAATAAAGGCTCCTTAGAGGTCCAGAAAATCAACATATGTATGAATTCTACACTTTTACCTATAATGCTCTGTAAGAATAAGTACCGTAACTGTACATGGATCTTTTGGAATAATAAAGGTACTTTTCACAGTTTCTTACAATTCATTTCTTGCTTTCATTCTCACCCACTTTAAAATAAATCCAGAGTAGTGAATGAGATGGTGATTATATTTTCAGGAGAGTGAACCAAAAGGAACACTCTATTCCTTGATTCGTGGCAGATCTCCAGATTGCCTTTTTGATATTGTTTTCTTTGTCACAGGAACGAATTTATGGTGCTCCTTTTCTCTTT